AAGTAGCAGAAATGTTCGATTTTTACCAACTTCAAAAGTAAACAAATCGTGCCAAGCGTGCAATACACGTCAACTTTGGTGAGTCTAATATTCTTTCACAAGTGCACCAATATTTTTTATACCATTTTTTACACTAATGCAGTAGTCTGCATAAAAAGTAATCTATATTTTTTGTGAAAATAAAAATTCAAAGTGGAAAGCAAAAGAATATAAAGAGGGGCCGTGAGACATGACTAATGACTAGAGGAAATGGGCATTTTAGTGCCTGGAATGTCTTTCTTGTTTTTTCTGGACCCTATTCGTAATTGGCATCTTTTGAAATTTGTGTGAAAAATTTGGGAAAATTGTAAACTGACCACTGTATGGTAGTTGAATTTCTAAATGAGTGGTTTCTTGCAAAAACCCCTTTGATAGAAAAAAAAGGGGTTCTAAGCGATAATTCTGTTTTTTGTCGACTATACGTGAAATTGGCCCAAAATTGGGGGTCAAAATGGGGGAAAAACGCCGAGGACCCCGCTAAAATTTGCGAGAGCATAATTCCGTAAGTTTTTTTATCAAATTTCAAACTTTGGGGTCTTTATTTCGGGGAAAAATTTTTTCTTTTCATATGAGAAATAATTTTTTTTTTTTTAAAATTTGGCCGCCTGAGAACGAGTTTTTTGGAGAGGGCCTGTCGACCCTCAAAGGGTTAAAAATAAAAAAGACTGAAACTGATAATGAACAGGGGTTCCTTAGTTAGCTTGTTAAACAGCATTTTGCAAGAATGCTCTGCCACAGATTTATAGATAGCTGAATTTAGTTTAATGAAATTCTTTACTCGGCAAAATGTGAAAAATGAAAAAATTTACAAGTCTCTCATTGCAGTTTTTTAACTCACAGCAAAAGTGATACTAAATGCTCTAAACTATACTGTTAAAACTATCTTTTTTGTGTTATTTGCAATGCAATAGAATTTTGGGAAATTAGGGAAATTTCTGCTAAAGTATCCCTTGCTGGAGATTTCCCCCTACCTGGTGACCAGCTATAACATCAATGGATCTAAAATTCCACAAAACTTCGCTTGAAACCCAAATGCAGCTACATACCAAGTTTCAGCAAAATCAGCAATGGTCAGGTGTGGACCACCTTCCAGCAAGCGTGCACAAGCGTGTTAGATAGGAGCGAATGGAGACAAATGTTTTTTAGGACTTGATGTGCTGTTGGAGTGTGAGCAAGGTAACATTTATGAAGGGATTCAGGGAAACTGGCAGGCCGAACTTGATTCCTGGAAATGGAAAGTACAGTGCCGGCACTCTGAAGGAAGGGTGTTACCTCGACAACAACCTAAATTTCAGCACCCATATCCAACACATAACAAAAAAAGTATCCAAAACGGTGGGGATCCTCTCCAAGATACGATATTACGTGCCGCAAACTGCCCTTCTCACACTATACCATTCACTCATTTATCCATACCTCACCTATGCTATTTGTGCTTGGGGCTCAACTGCAGCAACACATCTAAAGCCAATAATAACCCAACAAAAAGCCCCAGTAAGAATAATCACTAAATCCCATCCCTGGCAACACCCCCCCCCCACTCATCATAGATCTCAACTTACTCCCTGTTCAGAACATCCACACTTACTACTGTGCAATCTACATCTACAGGACCTTAAATTCCAATATTAGCCTTGACCTAAAATGCTTTCTTGATAGTTGTGACAAGACCCACAGGCATAACACCAGACACAAACATCTCTATGACATTCCTCGTGTCTGACTAAACCTTTACAAAAATTCAATGTGTGTCAAAGGGCCTAAAATCTGGAACACCCTACCTGAAAACTCTAGAACTGCAGACACATTCATCACTTTCAAAACTACCGTTAGAAAACATCTTATCTCCCTGATACACCCCGTCAACTAACTACATGTAAACCACCTGGTGGTTCACACTTACACTCACTCACCCATTGATTATAAACACACAAATACGAATCTTAATCTTAAAATAATGAATCCTAACTAGTCATAAGCTTGCCTATGATACTCCAATATTGACACTATGTATTGTGCCAAAGCAAAAGCATTCACATTGCTAAACTCACAAACTATAATGTAGTCACTTAACCTTAATACCATAATCTGTAATAATTTAAAGTTTAGAATTAATCTAAGTCTGCCCGAAATGCCTAGCCATGCTAGGTGTCCTAGTGGCCCCCTCTGTAATTAGTATTTTAAAACATGTAAACCACACAATATCCAAAATCTGTAAACCCCACATTGTAATCCTTAGAGAATAAACTTGATTGATTGATTGATCGATCTGTAGTGTAAGCATGCCTCTGGGAAGACAGTGATGGGGTGAATGATGATGAAAGTTTTTCTTTTTTGGGCCACCCTACCTAGGTGGGAAATGGCCGATGTGTTAATAATAATAATAATAATAATAATAATAATAATAATAATAATAATAATAATAAAAACTCATACTACAAATACATGTAGGACAACAATTCGAGTACCAATCCTGTTCGAAACTCATTCTTGATAGCTGTAACAGAACTCATAATAATAATATAATATAATACCTTTATTTCAAAAGAACATGTACAAGGTATAAAGGCCTAGCTGACATTAATGACATACTACCATATAGAAAACCACTTCTTATGCAGAGCATTTCAGGCAAATTAGGTCAATTTTGTCCCAGGATGCGACCCACACTAGTCGACTAACACTCAGGTATCCATTTTACTGATGGGTGAACAGGGACAACAAGTGTAAGGAAATACGCCCAATGTTTCCACACACAAAACTCTTTGTGATATTCCATGAGTCCAATTCAACCTGTATATAAACTCAGTGCCCCGTAGCCTGGTGGCTAAAGTTCTCGCTTCACATGGCGAGGGTCTGGGTTCGATTCCCATTGAGGGTAGAAATATTGAGCGTGTTTCTTTACACCAATTGTCTATGCTCACCCATCAGTAAAATGGGTACCTGGGAGTTAGTTGACTGGTGTGGGTTGAATCTGGGAAAAAACTGACCTAATATGCCTGAAATGCTCTGCATAACAAGTGGATGTCTATACAGTAGTATGTTACTGATGTCAGCTAAGCCTGTATACAATTTACATGTACTTGTAGTAAATAAAGATAGTATTATTAATATACAAGGGCCTATAATCTGGCACACTCTACCCAAAGATTCTAGAGACTCCATGTCTGCCAACCACTTCAAAACAACTGTTAAAAAACACCTCCATACCAAAACAGTTTATTTCTTTGCAAGGTTACATTTAGAACATGAAATTACAATAATGGGGTACAGTGCAAAGAGAGCCACTATCATGCCTAGGAATTATGGGCAGACTTAATTTAATGGTTTACATTTTACTTAATACTAAAGCAATTAATCATAGTTTGTTTAAGGTATACATCTTCTTTGTTTATAGCAAACAGTGACCCTGACAACAATTCATTTTGTCAAAGCCTGTTCTTGTTCCATCCTTCCTTCAACTCCCATTTATTACCAGAAAGTCATTATTTCCTCTTTACTGAAATAAAGTTCCTTGCTTTCTTTAAACAGTTGCTTCAGGAAAATTAACATAGCAACAAGGTAATTTTTGCCACTAAATGCCTCTCTTGCTCTATTTCAATGAGATTTGGTCTATATAAATAATAATTATTTCTACAAGTACATGTACAAGGTATACAGGCCTAGCTGACATCAACGACATACTCCTATATAGAGAGCCCCTTGTTATGCAAAGTATTTCGGGCAAATTAAGTCAGTTTTGTTCCCAGGATGCCACCAACACCAGTCAACTAACACCCAGGTACCTATTTTATTGATAGGTGAACATGGACAGCTGATGCCTTAAGGAAACACATCCTAGTGTTTACATCCATACTAGGGATTGACCCCAGACCTTGGTGCGTGAGCTGAGTGCAATAGCAATTGAGCTATGGGACACTTTCATAAGTGTAGGTATTGGGCCACATTAATATGATGATTTCTTCAACGCTTTCATTACATATGTACTGTACCAGTGATCTCATGAACATATAAACCACACAAATATAGCGCTTCATAAAACTACATCATCAATCTATCAGATCTATATTTTCTTACTACAAAGTCTCCAGTGTATAAATTTAGTAAAACTAGTGCCAAATCCTAATCGAACATAACTTCACCTTACATAAATTACACTGTGGGATAACACAGGGTTACGTTTTAGTCACTGACACTGTTGCCTTCCCTGACACACCCTCCATCAGCCAGCTATTCTCTTACTTGTATCATGCATACATAAAAAACAAACTAGACCTACTCTCGATGTGTGTGATTCCCCCCAATTTACACTTACATCCACCCAAATGACTGTAAACATAAAATTTTGAATAACGCTATTGCCTAACAAATCTCAACCTAGTCATAAATTTGCCTGAGATACTCCATTATAGGAGTTTTAATAAACACTGTGTATCATGCCAAGACAAAACCATTCTCATTGTTAAATTTACAAACTAATGCAGTTACCTAGCTTTAATATCAATATGCTCCAAAACCTGTATCAATATAGAGTTAGAATTACTATTAGTCTGCCCAAAATACCTAGTCATGTTAGGCATAATAGTGGCCCTCTTTGTAATAATGTAACCAATATTTTATATGTAAACCCCACACTGTAATCTTTACAGAGTAAACTTTTGATTTGATTTGATGCTGGTGACCTAAGAAGGTAGTAAGTTTTCCAGATACCCTTTTCCATTCTGATTATATGCTGTCTACAATATTGTACAGTACATAATCATATTAGTATGAATATATGGGGCAGGTTGCAGTACACAGTAATAATTCTGGACTGAACTCACATGTGCAATATCAAAGATGCCCTACTGTTTTATGTTTATTATACATACACAGCAATAGTACACAGCAATTTTTATTTCTTCAACTGATAATTTCATCACTATTATCTGCTGGGAAAAAAATCAGCCATGAGTACTTACCGAGTTAGAAAATCTGTGATCCCTTTTTTCTTGGTCTTGCCATCACTGTCAGTGAGCACAAAGTCCCTGAGAGAGCCAGTGTCAGACTGGAGGGAGCCAAGGCACACTGCACTGTCAGAAGCAGAGTATGCTGATAATTCAGTGTTGGAACTTGATAAACTGGAGAAGGAACTAGCATCCGTGAAGGAGAGAGAGTTATTGGTGCCAACCCGCTGAAGGCTGTTTCTAGGGCTTTCATAATGTCCTCTTTCTAACGAGGAACTACCGCTGACATTACCAGACGTTGGTGCACTCTTATCAATCAACTTTAATGTTTCCCCATTTTCATCAACTTCTTGAATAATTTCTAACGACTTGGGTAATGAAATTGGTTCACCTGTATCAGACAAACTTAAAAATGATTCTCTGTGAGATTCTGCAATCTTTCCTTTTAAATCTGAGTTTCCATTATCTAACTCTAACTTCTGTTTTTCTTTAGAAAAGTCAATATCACAGTTGCTTTGTATACTAGAGTTTTCCATTCTTTTGTTGTTAATGTCATTTTGAGCTTTTTTCGAAGTGCCAAGACATAACTGCCTGGTTGAAGGGTTATAGACCAGTGGTAAGGACTCTAACAAGGCATCAAGAGACACATTGTGACTTGTCAAGTTAGGAACCTTAGTAGACATGTTCATGTCTTCCTGTGTCTTGTTTACTTTCTTGGGTATAACACACTCTTCTTTGTTATCAGTAGTCATACTTGATGGTAACAAACAAGATGATTCTTGTTCCTCTTGATCTTGTTCACTGTTCTGATGAACACTAACAGCTTCATTATTATTCTTGCTTGTTCCTGATATAAGTAATCTCTTAGTTAAACCTTTTAGCTTTCTAGGTCGACCAGGCCAGGTGCAGAACCAGCTGTCAGTGAGTCTGTCAGAAGACACTGGCAGGAAGGGTGTCTCTTCTGCCACACACTTGTCACCTGCATCACTCCTGACTCTGGTGCCTTCACTAACACCACATCTCTCACTACACACACTCACACACACACCAGAGTTGTGATTCAGGTCATCAGGAAGACTGGCTGAAGTATTTTCAGTCTCCAGTGAAACCTCGAAGTTATTACCAGTCTTGTGACGACTCCATCCCAGGGTAAAGCCAAGCCCAGAGCTGCTGTTAATACTCTTTAATTCACCTTTAATACCACTCTCAGACTTCCTGGAACTGTGGAACCTCGCCAGGAGCGACTGTGCCTTGAAGGACTCCGGTTTAAAAGGTAATCGACGGGAAACTCTGTGTATGGTGGTTGAGGCAGATATGTGTTCCTTGAGGGAGACATCAGGTGTTGCATCTGCAGTGTTTCCCTTGTGACGAGCAACACTCTCGGTGGCCTCGTCCATGTCTCCAGCAACACTCTGGGGTCACACCACGCCGCAGTATTGCCTCAGTGTACTGGATGTAACACATCTGTGAGGGAGAGAGCTGCAGACAGGTGCTCACTCACCATTTTGTTGTGGTACACTGAGTGAGTCAGGCTGGTGGCGGCTCCTCGACCCCCCTCACACACTACCATACACTACAACCATATTGCTCTCTCAACCTATAAACAGACAAAAATTATTAAAACTATTATATTTTATTGTTGTTCTTGCATATCTTCTTTTTTTTTTTTGTATTTCTACAAAAACTTCTTCCTATGTTATTGTGACGTCTCGCAGAGTTTTTATTTCCTGGTCAAGCACTAGATTATTTAACAACCCAAAACTATTAAAAGTAACAAAAATATACACTTTAAAACATACTTTAGGTGACACTTTATATTATTTAATTAAATATGCTGCAAAATACTTAAAAAACGGGACTAGAGGTTATGATGTGGAAGATAAAGCTTTATTACACGATGTGGAGGTAAGGATGTGACGTCACCAGGTGGAGTGTATTTACAGCTGGTGGAGGAAGAGGATTTGTGTGTGTGCACCGTGAATGATCTCTCCTGCTCCACACACCTTCACCACACCACCATGACAGTCCCCATTGAAGCCATGTACAGTAGAAGCAGGTGAGGCAGTAGGTGGAACAGTGAGGCAGTAGGAGCAACAGTGAGGCAGTAGGAGCAACAGTGAGGCAGTAGGAGGAACAGTGAGGCATAGGAGCAACATGAGGCAGTAGGAAACCAGGAGGCATAGGAGCAAACAGTGAGGCAGTAAAGGGGCAACAGTGAGGCAGTAGGAGCAACAGTGAGGCAGTAGGAGCAACAGTGAGGCAGTAGGAGCAACAGTGAGGCAGTAGGAGCAACAGTGAGGCAGTAGGAGCAACAGTGGGCAGTAGGAAACAGTGAGGAGTAGGAGAACAGTGAGGCAGTAGGAAGGAACAGTGAGGAGTAGGGGGAACATGAGGCATAGGAGAACAGTGAGGAGTAAAAAGACAGTTTAGGAAGTAGGAGGAACAGGAGGCAGTAGGAAACAGTGAGGAAATAGGAGGAACAGTGAGGCAGGGAGAGGAACAGTGAGGCAGTAGGAGGGAAAATGAGGCAGTAGGAGAACAGTGAGGCATAGGAGGAACATGAGGCAGTAGGGGCAACAAGAGGCAGTAGGGGCAACAGTGAGGCAGTAGGAGGAACAGTGAGGAAGTAGGAGGAACAGTGAGGCAGTAGGAGGAACAGTGAGGCAGTAGGAGAACAGTGAGGCAGTAGGAGAACAGTGAGGCAGTAGGAGAACAGTGAGGCAGTAGGAGGAACAGTGAGGGAGTAGGGGAACAGTGAGGCAGTAAGGGAACAGTGAGGGAGTAGGAAACAGTTTAGGCAGTAGGAGGAACAATGAGGAAGGAGGAACAATGAGGAGTAGGAAGATCAGTGAGGCAGTAGGAAGATCAGTGAGGCAGTAGGAAGATCAGTGAGGCAGTAGGAAGATCAGTGAGGCAGTAGGAAGATCAGTGAGGCAGTAGAGGAACAGTGAGGCAGTAGGAAGATCAGTGAGGCAGTAAAAGAGGAAGAAAACCCGTGAGGCAGTAGGAGGAACAGTGAGGCAGTAGGAGGAATAGTGAGGCAGTTGGAGGAACAGTGAGGCAGTAGGAAGATTAGTGAGGCAGTAGGAAGATCAGTGAGGCAGTAGGAAAATCAGTGAGGCAGTAGGAAGATCAGTGAGGCAGTAGAGGAACAGTGAGGCAGTAGGAGGAACAATGAGGCAGTAGGCAGAACAGTGAGGCAGCAGGATGAAGAGTGAGGCAGCAGGTGAACTGAGGCAGTAGGAGGAACAGTGAGGCAGCAGGTGGAACAGTGAGGCAGCAGGTGGAAGAGTGAGGTAGCAGGTGGAAGAGTGAGGCAGCAGGAGGCACTGTGAGGTAGCAGGTGGAACAGTGAGATAGCAGGTGGAATAGTGAGGCAGCAGGTGAAACAGTGAGACAGCAGGTGGAACAGTGAGGTAGCAGGAACAGGAGGTAGCAGGTAAAACAGTGAGGTAGCAGGAGAAATAGTGAGGTAGCAGGAGAAACAGTGAGGTACCAGGTGGAACAGTGAGGTACCAGGTGGAACAGTGAGGCAGCAGGTGGAACAGTGAGGCAGCAGGTGGAACAGTGAGGCAGCTGGAGGAACAGTGAGGCAGCAGGAGGAACTGTGAGGCAGTAGGAGGAACAATGAGGCAGTAGGAGTAACAGTGAGACAGCAGGCAGAACAGAGAGGCAACAGGTGGAACAGTGAGGCAAGCCAGGTTTGGGAAATGAGGGAGCAGGAGGAACAGTGAGGTAGCAGGTGGAGCAGTGAGGCAGCAGGTGGAGCAGTGAGGCAGCAGGTAGAGAGTGAGGCAGCAGGAGGAACAGTGAGGCAGCAGGAGGAACAGTGGGGTAGCAGGTTTAACAGTGAGGCAGCAGGTGGAACAGTGAGGTATCAGTAGGAACAGTGAAGCAGTAGGAGGAACAGTGAGACAGCAGGCAGAACAGTGAGGCAGTTGGAGCCATCTGTGGCCCAGCATTTTCATATGATCATCTGACTTTGTCATTGACATCATAATGCTGTATGAATATGTTCCATACTCTGAGTCATCGTGGGGATAAATGATCTCGGATGAAGTGATGTTCTGGAGAAGGGTATAGCCAGAGTGAAGTTGCTGCTTTCTGCCTGTCTTCGAAGTGGGTCCAAGTGTGGTACTTTGACAGTATTGGCTTTGTACATAACAGTAATGCCACCCACATCCCTCCTGTGTTGAAGGCTCTGATGAAATGACAGATTATCTCTCTCTCTCTCTCTCTCTCTCTCTCTTTCTCTCTCTCTCTCTTTCCTCTCTCTCTCTCTTCGTCCTATGCTCGTCTCCTTCTCTCTCCTCTTTCCCTCTCTCTCTCTCTTTCCTCTCTTCTCTCTCCTCTCTCAGATCTCTCTCTCTCTCTCTCTCATCTTTCTCTTTCATCTCTCTCTTTCTCTCCTTCTCTTGTCCTCTCCTTTTCTTTCTTCCTCTTTCTCTCTTCATTCTCTTTTCTTCTCTCTCTCTTTCCCCCTCTTTTTTTTTTTTTTTTTTACACAGGGTTTGACAAGGTTAAGTTCCCCTAGCTTTATTGACGCTATATTACAAGTTAAGGATTCCTAACTTTTATTGCAAGCTAAGAGCTGTTACCTACATCAGCTCATTTGAAAGTCATTTTTATTGTTTGAGACATACAAGTACGAACAGGATGAAGTTGGAGCCCATCTGTGGGGCCACATTTTCATTTGATCAACTGATTTATCTCGTTGACATCATTATCTGTACGAATGTGTTCCATACTCGAGTCATCCTGGGTATGTATGTCTCAATGGAGTGATGTTCTGGAGAAGGGTACAGCCAGAGTGAAGTTGCTGCTCTCTGCCCGTCCTTGTGGCATAAAAGCTTGTTTCACGCTGTCCCTCGAAGTGGATCCCAAGTGTGGTATTTGACAATATTGTATTGGCCTTGTACAATAACAGTAAGGCCACCCACATCCCTCCTATGTTGAATGCTCTGCTGAAATGACAGATCTATCCAGGATGGGTCCAGGCGAGAGATGAGACTCTTGCTCTGTTCTCTACTCTGTAAGCAGTCGCAGATGAGAGGGGGGGCAGGCAAACCAAAGAAAGTGGAGCATACTCAAGGTGTGAGCGTACTTGTGCCTCGTACAGACTTGCAACCCTACTGTCAAGCAGATGCGAGATACGGCGAAGCTGTAAGCTTCCTGGCTGCCTTGTTTGCAAGATTACAACATGGTTTCTTCATGGTTGGGAGTTTTGGAGTCAAATTTCACCCCAAGGATATCAACTTTCTTCTCCAGGAGCCAACATCCTCCCATTCATCCTTACTTCTGCTGCAACCAGCATTACCATCATGGTGCCTAGAGACGATCATCATTTGCAATTTCTCAGTGCAAATGTTACTTGCCATCTATTTCCCCAAGCTGATATAGCTCTCAGCTGGTGATGATGTAGCTTAGAGCAGGCTGGCATTTCTTCTCTTTGGATAAGTGAATGTCATGACAGTCGCTGCATATGCATGTATTCTGGATGAGATGAAAAGGTCTGTTGAAGTAGACATCCATAACAGTGGACCCAAGTACGCCTTCCTTGTGGAACGCTTGCCCCCAATAGGATGCATTGCTGATTCATTCCCATTGAGGACGTACACTTAGAGATCTACCATGAAGTAATCACTGAGGAGACATAGCGTAAGCCTGCAATTCCCAGTGCTTGAAGTTATTGCAAGAGGCCCTGGTGCCAAACGTCCGTCGAAAGCGCCAGCAATTCCGCAGGCTACCACACAGCTGACATTGGATACATCCAGTGACTGGGTGCCACTTAGTGGGAGAGGTTAACAACAGATCAGCAGGCAAAGTAACCTTTCCTGAAAGCCTTATTGACGATCACAAAGGTAGTGAGTGTAGTCAAAAAAATCTGTCATTGTCTGAGATTATTGTCTCAAGGATCTTACCAGTGATTGACCAGGAGTGACAGACTGTTCTGTATTGCTGATTTCTGCTCTGCTCTTCTTTTTGTGAACAGGGACTACATTTTGCCTCTTTCCATAAGAGGGCCATTTACACTGTACTAGGCAGTGCGAAAGATGTGATTTAAGGTGCTGCTAGCTGGTCTGCACCATCATCTCAACAATCTTGGGCTCAACTGGTCCTGGCCCACAGCTTTTTCTGGTCATTGATTTTAAGAAAGAAATGCACCTCCTCCTGCCTTATTGTCACCACTGACAGTTTTTGACAACAGTTCGTGCAGCTAGCCAAGGAGGGTCCCTTGCTGGATTCAGGAACTTGCATTTGGTAGCAAAGTGTTTCAGCAAAGAGTTCCCGCCTTCTCTTGACTTACAGAAGGGTGGTCCCCATCCTGTCGATTTAGAGGTGGAAAAGTTCATCAGGAAGATACCCTTGTCTTCCTTGACGCAGGGACCGACCAGGTTTTGAGCCTACCTACCAGATTCTAACTTTCCTTTTAGTGCCACCTCCCTTTTAGCAATGGCTCACTTTTGAACATCACCCATATGCCTACAGCTTGCATGTGCAAGTTCCTGTTATAGGTGGTAGGATGTCTCTTATTACCTTCGC